ATAATGCAGCTGAAAGGAGCGCAACGCATAGCAGAATGGGCTGATGTGGTGACGGTCCATGCTGTACAAGGATCGGATTCTATAGCGCCCATCTTTCGACAGGTAACTATCTGAAATAAGGTGAAATGAATCACTGGGGCCTCAGACTTGTGTTTGGAACACTGACAGTGTTATAAGCAAATTTTTTTCGTCGTTTCTGTCGTTCCGTCCAGAAATCAAGAATTTTATTCAATACTTCGAGAATTAGTTTTTTGGTCATATATTGCTATTCAAGGTCATTACTGACTCATCCTATCGCTTAAGCGGCATTCTCTTAATAGCTCAACTCAGCACCAAAGGTTCACTAACGGCTCTTAATGGCTATACTGAAGGTGGTATCCTTTATTGCACGCTACTACCTATAAGCTATCTTAGGGTTTTCTCTTCAGCTGCCGCCGAGATGGGTGGAAGTAATCGAGATGTTGTTTGTGGTTTCATCTGCCAAACACGTGTTTCAGCTCACCCTGATATGCTACATTGGACTCCAGGTTTTGTTTCTGTTTCGAAAAGAAAGCTTAAGATGGCTGAATAATAGAATGTTACTTACAATAGACGAGTTTAGGTATCAACATGGATGCAACATCGGACAACGCTGGGCAGCAATGGAGAGGTCTTGATCAAGTGAGTGAATGTTGAGTGACATTGCGGTTTCTACTAACACGCGCGACTACAGAGTAGAAACTGACGTTCTACGGCGAGTGATTGTGATTGAAACAAAGACAGGCTCTTTGACTTGGAGTCCTAATTGAAAACTATTCCTCTCTCTGGGCCCCAAAATTTTAAGATCTTGGATTTTACTGAGACTCTGTCTAATAGTATTAGCTGAGATATGAACTTCTTCGCACGGTAGGGTATTTTATGGTGGTAGGTGGAGGTAAAAAGTCGAAGTCACTGATTTAGCAAAGTATTGGTGTGGTAGGTTATTTGACTCGCTGATTAAAACCTATCCATTCCATGATACTGTACGGGTCTTAGTTTAGAGTTAAGGAAGATGGCAGAGGATCAGCATTTAGTTCAATCTAGCTGACTGCAAAGATTGATGAATTGTTTTATAGTGAGTGGCAAAGTTGGGTTAATTGCTAAGGAGCTACTGCTCACCATAACCATATTTCACATCAAAACATGGTGATACGAAACGAGTATGTTAGTTTTGATTAGCCTTCTAAATAACTTCTAATGAATTTTTAGAAGATTTTGTGATTTTGACTTTCGATTTTTCTATTCTGCATTTCTCCTTTTCCACTGTAAATTGCTCCAAATATCTGATATTTGTGATCAGCATGTCAAACTCCACTAGACCATTTTTCAAAAAGTTCGTTGACTTCAATCTCGCATGACCTACCGTAACCCCGCATCAAGACCGTATATTGCTTAAGGTCAAGATTTTCTTACGCAAAGTTTTAGCAAAATCCATTTTTTTGATTTTGAGGCCCGAGACTGCATTGCAAGCATTTCCTATTTCCTATCTTTTATCGCTATGTGA